TTTTTTTTTTTTTTTTTTTCCGGCCATTCTCCTGACAAAAGCAAGACAGCAACCTTTAAGCAAGCACCGTAGGTTCAGGTGAGCTGCCATACTTGCTGTCTACAATTTGATGCCATTGCTCCCCATGTGTTGTTTTTTCTTGGTATTCCTCTCTTCAAAACATATCCGTATCATGCTTATCATTCTATCGCTGTGCCAGGTGAGTCGCGAGAACCTCCTTAGCAACTGGATACCACTTCCTCGGAATGGGGTCTGGCGTTGTGGCCACGGCCGAAGCAACTGGATACAGATTTGGGCTATATTCTGTCTTGATGGGCTGAGTTCCATTTGGGGGGTCAGAGGGCAGAGGGGTTGTGTAGAGATGATGGTAGGAATTCCTGGCTTTCTTGTCAACACCTGGTAATTAGGGGCCCTGCTCGATGCATGGACGTTCCTATCAGCACCATCCTCATCATCACCCTCATCCCCAAAAATCCTTGACATCCCCAGAGCCCCCTATTTCCTCGCAAAGGGTCGCGAACTGAAGGCACCTGGCGGGCGCGGGCTACTGGCCTTGCAACGGAGTCTGACTTTCGCGTGACCTGGACCTGGCACGGAAGAGGGGTTTAAGGGTGCGGAGTCTGGCTTGAAAAAACGTGGCAGTATATTGCTGGGGTAAATGTGACAAGAGAGAGCCAACTTATGGTCTAAATCCAGGTCTTTTATAAAATGGGATACATGAGAGAGTTTCTAGGGTCTCCAAGAGATGTGACTAGGTTTGCACTGTGAGCTTTGTTTTCAGGAGCAAAGCATGTCAGCAAGGAGGCATGGCCCAGATGTTACTCGGGGTCAGGTTAGAATTGGAAGGGGCTTTTGCAAGGACATTGGGTTGGCAACAGGCGGTATTGATGTGCGACTTTGGAGGGGCTACTTTGACGGCTGAGGTGCGCGTGCGGGCGAAGAATGGCGTGGGCTGGTCTTTGGCCGAACCTGCCCAAATCAGCTGCAGGACGGCTGAGAGACCTCACAAGCCAAGGCAGTTACAGTGCGTGGAAGCGGGAAGCCCGGCAGTGTCAAAACTTTCTGTATTTCGAGCTTTGTTTGCATATGCCACAAGGCGCGGAATTTTATTCTTTCAGGTCGCTTTGTGATGTAAGGCAGGAACCATGTGCGGATAGAGTTCAAGGTGCCAAGCAACTTCGGGCAAGAAGAGCACATCAGCAAAGTGCGCGCAGAGCAGGCCGGCGTTCTGGTCTGGAACGAACTCCCCTCGCAGTCCTTGGAATTTGAGCATTTGGAGGGCGTCGAAGCACATTCTGCTGAGCCAGCACCTGAGGATATCGACTTGGGCCCATTCTGGAATGCGGAACTAAAGCTGAGAGCCTTTGCAGTGGTGATACGCGGTTTGGAACCGAATTGTCATTACAACTTTCGTCTGGATGTGGCGAACGAGGTCGGATGGGGCCGTGGTAAGTCGGAAGCATTTTCCTGCCACACCGTTTGCCGGCCTGATGTTCCCCAGCTACGGGAGGGCCCACACCGTGTACCCTACGAGCTCAGGGTTTGTTGGGACCAGAGGGATCCCTTGGGCGGGGCTGTGCTCGATTGGGAAGCCCAGATTTGCGAGTCTTCTCTCTTCGCCCTTTTTTCGAGCTGGACCGTGCCGAAGGACTTCTCGGTTTTGCGACAGCCCACGCTTCACGACATGGTCTGTGAAGATGAGGAGCTGGCAATCAACACGACCTGGGAAGCCAGCTTCGGATGCTTGAAGCCTGCCGTGGAGTATGTCATGCGCGTACGGACAGGCAACACGGCGGGCTGGTCTGACTGGTCAGAGCCTTTGAAGGCTTTCACAGCGCGCCCACCAACCATCAGCAGGTGTCTACTTGCGCAGGTTCCAGGTTACCTACCTGGCGGTCAGGCAGACTGGGTCGTTGATGTTATGCTTGATGACCGTGGCTCGGATACGTTCCTTTGCGCTGTTGACTTTGACTGCACTTCCCGTGATGCATCCTTCGTCGATACGAAAAGTAGCCTGAAGACGAGCACAGTAGCAAGGAATGTTGTCCAGAGCAGTTGGAGAGCACGCTTTCCGGGAGATGCACTTCCGACCTCTATGAGCAAGAAGGTTTCGGTCACGGTAAGTGCTGCGAATGATGCTGGCTGGAGTTTCAACATTCAGAAGACCTCTGAGGATGCAGATTTCAAGGCGTCCTTTGCCAGCTGGGACATGCCTTCTGCTTCCAGCTCGCCTAGCGCCTTACCTGCTGCCAGTGACTCAAGAGCCCAGTCAGCAACCTTTAAAATTTTGAGCAATCCACATTCAACTCGCGAGCCAGGAACTGCAGCACTTTTGCTGGGTAAGTTTTCTGCAAGCAAGGTGAACTTGGCCATGCATTCAATGCCTTCCTGGCAATCGCGGAAGAGAAGCTGAGCGTCCCGGCTCACGAAAGCAAATGCAGCAGGGGCATGTGCTGTAGCCATGTGCCCATCAGGCCTCCTCCCCTTTTGCACCCAAAACCCTGAGCCCCAGCTTTCCAGATCTGCGGTATGCAGGGGTCCCATAGAGTGCTGACAGATAGTCTTATGAGGGCAGGGCCCACAAAAGCGCAATTTATTTTTCAAAGGCTGGGTACGAGCAGATGTATAATGTGAATCTTTCCGACCACAGCTTTCAAGCAAGCTCAGTCCTGCTGGGCGAGGGGCATTCATTACGCGCGGCTCAAAGGTTGAACACCGGCCAGCAGTTTCCATGTACAATCGGGTAAAGTACGGAAAAGCCTAATCTCTGAAGGGCAATGAATCTCACTCAGGTCAGGGGCAAAAGGAATTGGCCGCATTGATATCTGCAGCTTCAACAGCGCCCTGGGCAGATACAAAACTAGTGCTGCACGATTTTCAGGGCAGATTTGCCAGGATTACCAGCGCAGTGTCTTCCTTTGCCGGTCTTACATGCCCCAGCTTAGGTTCCGAGTCGCTGGACGGCTACGCAGCTGCAGCAGCTGTCACATAGAGCGGAGCGTTTGGAGTCAATCGGGGCGTGCCTCAGAAGCTAGGAAGCAATGGTCGGCAATAGTCTTGTCTTGCCTTTTCCTTCGTGCTATCGCGGTTGCTCTCACTGACTGTCTAGGTCGGTGATTGCGACTAGAATGGGAACATCCGTAGTCCGCAGTACCGTTTTTGGCCCTGGGACATGTAACCAGCATGTACCAGATCCTCCTCCTAGATCATAATCCTAAAAAACCCCAAAAGCTTCAGACTTGCCAAGAAAGAGCTTCCCGAGCCATCTTCGAAATTCCCTTTGGGGCAGCTTTTGGGACCTAAGAAGCTTCCGGCGTAGGATATGACCTGTTTTTCCGGTGAGCTAAGGAGGCTTGCTGGCCATCAGGGAGAAGGCTGAGAGGTGTGAGACCTGGCTTTCAACCTGTGGCGAAAGGTTGGCCTACAAACACCAGGCCCATGGCCTTGGTTTCAGGGCTTAAGTGGTTTATGGAGCCAGGAAGGTGGGATAGTGGTGTCAAGTTTCTGTTAGGGATGCAGGATGCTGAAATGAACTCAGACGGATGATAGGGATATGGGCAACTGCACAGGCTTCCAGCGCAAGAACGATGCATCATGTCCATGTTCAGGGCGCCTTTAGGAGCATCTAAACAAAGGGATGAGTCAGATAGCCTCGCAGTTCACTACTACATGCATTTTTCCACAAAGACAGTAGAGAGTCAGCATGTCATGTCTCAGGAAGGTCTCACGTCTCCTAGCGTAGTCTTCACGCACAGTATACTTAGGGCCCCTATGCCAGGCCATAGAGAAGGAGAAGGCAGCCAACGCACACGTGGCGCGCCCTGACGCGCTTTGGGAAGACTCTTACCTGTCCAACCAGTACGTAACCTTTCATTCTTTAAGGTCATTGAAGCACAATATAGGAGCTTCACAAGTTTAACCCTGTAGAACTTAAGCCTTGTAATCACTATACCCCTATATTCCAACAGTAAAGGGGTTCCTAGGTAGCGCAAGCTTTGCTTTATTCATTGTAAGGACTTCTTGCAGGGCGGCTGCGCCTCTTCAGGCCTACTTGCAGACTTCGAACTGCTCCTCACTCCTTGGGTCGCCAGTAAAGCAGGGGCCTAGAAGGGAAGTTCTGAAAAAGGGGGACCCAAGGGTCCCTAGGGATATATAGGATGATAAGTAGATTCTTGGGTGCCTCTTGGATATTGTGAGAAATGTCCAAACTAGGAGAAAAGAGTTTTGGGGACGGATCATAGTGCGATAAGAGTCTGACTTCTGCAGGCTGATACATTACTTTCTTCGATGTTGAGGGGCTTCATGAGCTTCAGCCTTCCACGATTTTGAGGGCAACATACCAAAATAGACATGTCCTTTTACTCCTGTCCCCTCAGTAAAATTGTTTCTGTGTGTTTTTTGCATAACCCCAAGGACTTATAAACAACATTATTGCTGCTTGTACATGCGCAGGTGCTTTTGGAGCTCCATAGGATTTTGAGGGCGAATTGATGATATGTTCTCATGAGTCCTCATGGAGGTTTGGCGAACAGATGCTGCACAAGAGGTTTTCATTGTATTGCCTCTCACGATCAGTATGTATCGCAATTTCATATTCCTTCTTGGCGTTGCTGGTCTTGCGGACTACGTATGCGTCGCCCCATTCCTGGAATGCCCCTATGACAAGCAAACTTGATAGGACAGCAAGGTAGGGTCTCAGAGTCGAAATTGGGGAAGATGTTTTTTCAACAGTTTCTGTGATCCTTCACTCTTCAGTGGGGATCAAGTCATGGTGCGTTTGCCTTCGGTTACTGTATACGGGTCACAACCGACCGCAAGATGCCGAGCATCAGTCCTTCATTCACTTGTGGTGAAAAACTTTAGACGATTTAGAACAATGACCTGGCAACGTCACGCTGAACGGTGAGGAAACAAGGAGAGGTCCTAACATGGCCTCAGTTCAGGCTTTGGAAGAATCATGACTTAGTCACGAACTGCTCAGGTTACTTGAAGGATGCATCTGGTTGGAGTATGTGCGGAACAAGCAGTTGGATCCTCTGTGGGCTCGCTTATGTCACCTATCCGGCGACAGCAACTTGGAGTCTGAGAACTGAAAGCCCAACAACATGGAAACCTGGGTCTGGTTTTGAGTGTGCCGTACACTAACTTGTAGGTAAGCATAAAAGCAAATGAAGGGAGCATAACCCACATAGTTTAATGAGACGGCTTCTGTATTGATAGCCCCCGGGATAACATGAAGCTACATAATATCTTATCCCTTCTTCGAGGACAGCAGTCTGTAAGCGGCCGGTCTCGGTTTCCATGCTCTTTCCAGAGAGTACAGGTCTGCCGAACTCCCCCAGTTCTTCCGGTCATCCCTAGACATCCCTATTGCTACCTGCAGAACAGGTTGGGCTGGGCACTTGTCTTTGGCATCGGCCCCTGGGGTGTGGGGTGTATCTGACATGCTGCCTCCGCACCTCCAAGCGCTCGAATCCTTCATCTCAGTGCCTCTCTAGACACAAGCGCTGATGCTTGAGGACTTGATGATCCTCAAAGTCCAATCCGAAAGCCCTTACCCAACACCAGAATACTAAACGACACCATCGTTCGATCCTTGCCCTTCCCGCCCTGCATCGATCCCGATCTACCTAGTTCATGGGCCCAGGCAAGTCACAAGCAGCTGAGCCATCCGCCGCGCATCCCGCACGAGTAGTACGAATTTGGGCGGAAAAGCGTGAGGCTTTCCTGAGCTGGAGATAAATCAGATACTGTAAGGGCCCCAAAAAAGCACATGAATCTCACGAAATCGCTTGAACATCGGGATGTTTACGCGTTCGGCTTTACAGCCGAGGGTGCGGTGGGTTTTAGAGCTTTGGGATTTGGAAGGTTTAGGTGTTAATGGTGATCCTGGAGCCCCCAAGTACCTCATGAGGTTTCTATGGGGTTTATCCTGCAGGCCTGGGCCGGACGGTTCGACATGCATCTCGGACAGCAGTAGTCAGTACTCTATGTCTGGCAAAGGTCCATAGTCCCCTTAAGTAGGTAGAATTCAGGGTATATGGGGATCTTCGGATGATTTGGGGGAATTCCATTCAAATACTTGAGGGGGACTATGGATGTTATTGCATGTGTCCTTGTTTCCGCCCTTCTTGTTGTCATTGCCGTTGCCCTGCACGCAATACCAGTTAGAGCTATCCATGCATCCAGAAGTGTCGCTCGGGCTTGAGTGTTTTCTGCAAGGCCTCCGGGGCTTTTAACATATTTGGCTGCTTGAGGACATATCGTTAGACGAGGGTTGTAGACCTTCTGCGCTGTGCAAAATGACTTCCAACAACAGTTTGCCTGGTGCACTATTCGAATTTATGTTCATGTTGTTGGCTCGTTTTTTGGGCTGGTTTGGGTTGCACGGCGGGGGTTCCCCATGTAAGCAGTCTTGAAGCACTTCATGGTTCGAACCAAGGGATATACGGACTGCTGGACCTTGAACACTTGAAACCCTGATTCCTTTGCGTGAACCCTATAAGAAGCAAATTCCAGGCAGCTGGTGAGCGTCTCAAAACAAGCGCTGGCCACAGCCGGGCAACTGCTTGCAACTGCCAGGAGTTCTGGAGTTCAGGCTTTTCTTTTCAGGGTTTCGAGCTTGGGATTTCAGAATTTGATGGCTGCAGTTTCGAGCGTGGATTGGCTTTGGGTTCTAGAGGCTTCAGAATGCGATTAAGACTTAGGGCAGCAGAATGTGAGGACTAAAAAAAGAATGTTTGGTGTGCGGCGGGGCTGTCCCGCGCACTTGTTGAGCCGAAAAAATCTCAATCAGGAGTTCTAGTTCTCAGCTTACGGCAACGATGGCAAGCAAAACAACTTCCTTGAATCTGCTTTGGTGCTGCCCTCTGCTTTGACCTGCCATCCCAGAGTCCTTGCAACCCCTAGCCCCATCCCATCATCTTAAGCTCTACACTCTACACCCCCAAGCCACATTGATGCAGTAGCTGTGTCCTCAAACACGCCAGCGCTGCGAAAATAGGAGCCTGCCTACGGCGAGGGCGGCTTATCTAGACAGCTTTCTTCGGTCTGCCCTGGTGAGTACAGACACACAGGACAGGGTGACGACATAGGAGTTGCACCGTTGGCAACGATGGAGGCTTGTTCCGCTGTATGTTTTTGATGTAGATGTTGACGATAACTGATCCTCCTCTTGGGTACAATAGCAGAGAAGTTTGGAAGCATTTCATCGGTTGCTGCAACATCAGCAGGAAGCGGGATGGTATCCTGCAGATTTTGGAAGGCAAAGTTAGGATGTCCCTCCCATAGAGTAACTTAAGAGTACAGTAACTCATGGCAGAGAACAACTACTAACGCATCCTAAACCTTGCATACGTAATGCTTGGTTTTCACCCGATGTATCTCTCTGTGGCCTTTGCCCTGAACCCCATGTTTTAGATACCATGTAATTCCACATAGAGCTACCCCTGCACCTTCATGCAGAAGATGCCCGAAGTCCCGAACCCTATACGCTCTAAATCCCATAGACGTCAAGCTCCTATGCCCCATGCAGAATTTTTAAATTCTCAACCCCAAAAAAGCCTAAGCCCCTGCATACCCAACCCACCCCCCCTCCCCCCCCTCCCAAAAAAAAACACAAACAATGGAGTAGGAAGCATCTGTCTACCATGGCCTGGCTTGCTTCGAACCTACCTTCTGTGCAGCGCTCCGAGAGCAGACCCTGCTGGCGATGACCGCACCTCACCGTATTAGGGATTGAGGGGTTCGGGGGATTATATGAGCTCTAGTCTAAACTCCTTAAAGGGGGGTTATATAGGGGACTACTATAAGGGTTATTAAGGGGAATACTAGGAGTTTAGACTATGGCTCATATAGGGACTTAGGGATTCAGGGTTTTTAATGTATCTGGGTTTCGGGATTCAGTTGTTAACCTGGCTTGGAGATCAGATCTGGTTGCAAATTTGTTCGGGGTGGGGGGTGTCGACATCAGGGAGCCTTTACAATTTGGGGGGGGGGGATGAATTCGTGCATAAGTGCAAGGAAGATGTTTTTGTTCTTCCTGGGTTACTGAGCATTGATCTATGAGATGAGGGTTTCTCAACATGGGACATGGGCCTGGAATCGACGTGGATGTTGGTTTTTGTTGAGGAAGGTTTGTAACAAACTCCTCCAGAAAAAAAAAGCGGTGTATTTTTGTGGCTTGGGTGTTCATGTCTTTAGTTTTAGGGTGTCAAGGCGTTGAACTTTCCAGGATGGACAGATACTCTGAAGACAAGACTAGGAGGCGCCCGCGATTTGCTTCCCCTCTGGCCCTGATTGATTCGTGGATATTTACTTATGCAAATTTGAAACCTTGCTTTAGCATTGATTTCAATGTAAACTCGGGATTTTCAGGAAGGTGCTCGTCATCCTTAAGCATGCTCCACGTGCTTCCTAAATGGGCTGTTTTTTTACGTGCCTACCCACCGACTGTGGCTGCTCATTTTTTGTGAGCGTGCATTCCTTGATCTGTTGCCCGGTGTGAGCGCCTGTGTTCGCTGCTTTTTGTTCAAGATGCGCAGGCATTGAAGAATCTGCGGACAAGTGCTGATCAACAGTTCCGCAAGCTGAATCGCGCTTTGCAGCTTCTGGCAGTTGCTTCGACACAAGGAGGAGACCGAAGCCTTTAGCCCTAACCCATATCACCCAAACCCTGAGCCGTAAATTTTGAGCATCAGGCCCTGGACCTTTAGCCTCACTTATTGGTTCTTAGTAGGGAATAAGGGAATATTATCCCTAAATAATCCGTTCATACTATACGCCCTTAGTCCGCATTAATCCAAGTAAGTTTTGAAACTCTGAACAGGAGAGGTCGGAGGGTGCTCAGTTTCTGAGCGTAGCGGAGCACACAGCTTCCCAGAGGTCAGCATGACGGACAAGCTGTCCCAAACTGCTTTGGGCTTGATTCTTACCATGGTGCTGCCTGTGCCCGGCACAGTAGAGCTTGGTGTCGTCTCCATAGGTGCCCAGAGATGAACCAAAAGAGCTTAAGTGTAGTTTCTCTAACATTCACATTTGGCCCACCTGCGTATGTGCCTAATCCGGGAAACCCTGAGGCGCCCTATGGCTGCAGGGGGATTCTGCCGGAAAGCACCTGGTTGTCGAGCACTCGAAGACTGTAGACTTTAACCCTTTCCGCCGCTTCCAACAGCAGCCAAGACCAAGTGCGCTCAAACTCCTTTCTGACTGGGCGCAGGATGTCCAAGAAAGTGTTGCGCCATGGTTTTTGTTCAGGATTGCTTTTGGGTTGCTCATCCTTTCGGAGGTCATGCCAGCCTCTTAGTCCTTTGGAACCCCAACACTTCCTGCGCCCAACCAAGGACAAGAAGGAGGAAGCAGCAGGCGCTCAGAAAACGGATGCGCCAGATGCGTCCGCTGAAAGTACAGCGGCCGCAGCGAGTTCAAGCATCCGGCCTACAAGCAGTGCATTCTTCAGATTGGCGCTTTTTTCTCTCCGGGTTTACAAGCCTTCAGAAACTTCTATTGGCTTTTTGGTAGAGGTTTGGAGTTGCCCGCGAATCAGGGGGTCCGAAGCGATTGCCTGCTAGGTGCAAAAATAGTATTGACCGCCCCAGCCAGCGTATCCGGCGTATCCTAAGCCTACAATTAGATCACCTCCCCCTGATACATCCATCTGACATTTTACATCCAATCTCAACATGCCCCCACTATTTCATGTCCCTGAAGGAAGGGATAGTCTTGAAGACACGCTACCAGCCCCGCGTCAGGGACAGTGTTGGTGCACAACGCCGCCTCGCGCTTGATCACAGTGCCCTGACCTGGATAGCTATTCGCTCGATTTTGCAACTGACCAGGATGAATTTATGCAGGCGGTTGCTTATGGAGGGTTCGCATTTCCCACAACGTTGAACTGGGTTTTAATTTGGGGAAGAGCGAGTTCCTGACATCCATTGCGTTTCCTTGTGAAGAGCTCAAGCCCAAGTGCCCCGGACTCACTTGAAGATGGAACCCCGGGTCACTGCAGGTTCTCGACATGCCTGCACTCTCTGGGAAAGGATACCTTCCAACAAAAAAATGCAGGAAGAGTCCCAGCATGTCAGTGGCACGTTTCTAAGCAGTAAGAAGGATGTAATCGAATGTAACTCCGTGAACTATGAGGACTAGACAGGACGGTAAGATCATATTTCAATAGGACCTTTGCCCATGGGCACGTGCAAGAAGATGCCCTTCCTCGTCAGAACCTCTTACAAAACCAGGGGCACAACGTTTTGTTCCCAAGTCTAGAAAGTCTAGACTGCCTCCCCAGGCCTTCTACAAACCCTATGCAGTACCTCTACTTGTAGTATGGCTTTACAAAATCGCCAAATTGCAACGACTTCACCCAACCGACCCCAGCTGGTGGCTCAGAAAGTATCCCAGAGTGGACTTACCAAAACTCAGCTGTTGGAACAATCCAGCCAGAAGATTCCTCCACGTTAACTTGCGAGATTTAAAGTATCGTGGGAGCCTGAAGAACTCTCAATGCCTTTTTCTTATCCATATGAGCATGAAGCTTGAGAGAAGTAAAGTTCCTCCAAACTTCACTCTTACATAACTTCAGTTTGATATACCCTCTGCATACGTTGGTCAGAAACATATCCGTGGCTCAAACCCTAAAAGCTCCTTATCCTGAACCCTAAGCCCTACTACCGTTATTGTGCCGCAGGTGCGAGTGCTGGACCAAGGCTCGGAGACATCTATTGGGGTCCCATAATTCTGGGATTTTCGGTGGGGAGGGATGCAAGTCGTGATGGTTTGGGGTTTAAGGTTTAGTGTTTAGGGGACATATCCGTGTACAGAGACGGGAGGTATATAGAGTCAGGCAAAGGCCAGAAAGGTAACCTGGAAGTAGAGTGATTTATGCGGCGCTTCCCTCTGTTTAGCTCTTGTGACATGGTAGGTGGAGATTGAGAGATTGATGCTCCAACTGTACGGCTTTCATGTATATAGGGAGTTTGGGCTTGCGTGGTATACAAACGGGCTATACGGGGTTTAGTAATAAGGTAATCTTAGTTCCCCCAACCCCTATAGAAATGACCCTATCCCATGATTCGAATAGGTTCCGGATTTTTAGGGCTTGGGCTAACTAGAATCCCCTCAGTTGGGGTTTGCAAGGCTGTAGGCTGTGGGGATCTCATCTCTGGAGGCTGATGTCAGGGTTTTGAGGGAGGAGATACACACACATTGATTAGGTTACTGTCGCCTCTTGGCCCTTTCAAAGAAGGTTTTAAGGTGTTTCAGATCAACTCATGTCTGACCCAGTGATTCATGGTAGTTCTAGCCTTTACGAAAAAAGGGCGACTGAATTTTCGACATAGATCATGTAGCAAATGTCCCTACCTACGCCGAGCCCAGAAGCGGCCCTGCAAAGGTTTCTGTTGATTCAAAATGCTTATCTATAGTAGAGAGGGGTTAGGGTAGGATACTTGAGTGGTCTGCGTTGGGATCTTCATTTCAGAGATTCCAAACCTCGAGACTAGCTGAAAGATTTCAGATGACAAAGCAGTACTGATGCATAAAGGCCTTTTTGCACCGTAGCAGTCAGGACCTGGCTTCAAAGAACTTACTGGAATGGGCTCAAAGCCTAAGTTAAGCACTTACCTGCCACAGCTTGCCAAATGCCTGTGGACATGGCCAGGTCGCAACATTGCCCTCTGGGCGTACGAGAAAGTGCAGGACACCTTCCTTGCAATATTGCTTTTGAAAGGTTAATCCTGCTGCCTAGCAATGCTAAACTGGAACCTATCACAGACGTGTAGAAGGCGCATTTTCAGAAGGGTGGGACAAGTTGTCTGCCTGCTTAAGAGCCTGCTACACCATCTGGTTCTGCACCCCGCAAGGCAAGGACAGTTGACGCAGCACATTTCCATGAACCTGACATATGGTTTCCATACATTTTCATGGAACGTGCCCACAGACGGGACCTATACAGACCGTACAGGCAGAGGAATCTCACTCAACCAACATGATTTCAGTCGAGGAGGCGCATCCCATGGTGCGGCTCGTGTCACAAGCGGTCGTTCGCGGCTTTGGAGCCGTGGCTGGAAACACATGGCAGGCCTGTGCGCAGTTTACGGGTGTTGCAGGGAGCTTAGAGTCCCGAATTCATGAGGTGCCTGCTCCGGATGGGATCTTCCAAATTTCACGCATCCTCTTTGTTTTTTCTCTACCCAGGACTTCGCACTATTCATATACTGCGTGTTGAATCTAGCCCGAATGAATCTATCAATAGTTGTTCGTCTCCGTTTGACTAGTGCTCTCGCGGGCGGAGGCCGATCCTGTCGAAGTGGCGGTGGTTGTTCCCCCTGCCGACGCTACAGTTCTGCCATTGCCAAGCATGGAGGACCCACAAGTGCTTCGGGGCTCAGGGTTTAGGATTTAGGGTCATGTAGGATTCTGAGAGGACTAGAGGATGATGAAGTCGATGAAGTAGTATCTGGTCCATTTCCAGCTTAGTTAGAGGCTTACCACCACATGTCACCCTGAGCTTGGGGATTCGCTTTTCAAGTTGACCGGGTGGAGCTGTTTCTTAAAGCATCTCGCCAATGCAGGACCCTTCCACGCTTGAACTCGAATTCACATATGGGCTGGGTGGAGAGCGGCCTTTGGGGCGGGTTCCAGCACGAGCTGGCATGGCAGCCGCTTGGGGCTGTTCAGATACCTGAAGCATGTGGACGGATGTGACAGGACGGTGCAGGTTTCTGTCAATGCAGGTTCTAGGGAAGCGGACGATAGCAAGGCTCAGGTTCGCGAGAATCAGATAGGCGACCCCTTCCGCCCCCCCAACCCCCAGGAGCCCTCCCCAGGCCTCAGCCCCACTCCTTCAGTTGGGGTTCCCGTTTGAGATTCACAGATTTATGTAGTGAAGAGTTGCACAACTTCTTTTCATGAGAAGAGTGCCACGAAAGCTTTGCATCAGTTGCCCTTCACTCGAAGTTTACCAGCAACAAAGAGCGAATGAGGAAGCACGGGTTTCGTTAGGGTTGATGAAGGCAGCGCCATTGCAAACGACTTGGCGTTCAGGTCAGCTTTGTCTGCCTTGACGACGAGATCCACATTGACAACATTGACAAGATGGACAACGACGGTACACTTGTCACAGCAGCCCCTGCCGACCTGGTGGGCAGTTCAAGCGCGGCTTGGCTTATGATTTTTCAGTGTGGGTTACGACCTTCGCCGCCGACCACCACCCCAACCATCTCCCCAGCACAAAATCTTAGCGGCTAGCTCTACATTCTTTTCAAAAGACCTTTAGCAGCTTTCGCCGCAGCGGGTGTTTTAACTGACAACAAACAGCTGATTTCCGAGTGGCATGTTGCGGTAGTCCCATTTGGATGGCATGAAATCCACGGAAACTGCAGGCCTGTCCACCGTAAAACAGCCGCCTGTACCGAGGGGTGAGACACCCGCACTTGGCTTTTTGCAGGAACTGTTCCTTAAGTATGTCTTTGGGACAAATGTTGAGCCTGGACTCAGGGTGGAGAGGATGTCATGCCCGACGGCTCTGAAGCCGAGCCACAAGCAAGTTCGCTGGATGCTGGCGTTTCCCCTGAGACAATGGAAGGGAGAAGGCTCCCAGTAGCTGCGCCAGCTGCGCAAGAAGATCCTCGGCTCATTGTTTCGGTTAGGCGTTTGCCATCACTTTTTGACAACGGCCTCAAAGGGCTCAGGCGTTCAACTTGGTTTATGATGTTCGTGCTAGTAAGAGTAGTAGTATGTAATATTGAACAGCAAGAGTAAGAGTAAGAGTAAGAGCAACAGTCGCAGTACTAGTAGTAGAAATTACAAGAATAGTAATAGTCGCTGTAAGAGTAATAATACCAGTAGTAAGAATACTAAGAGCACTGGCAGTATTATTCATATTCGATCTATGCCATCACTCAGGCTGCAGTTCCTTCAAGCATTGGTGCGCCTGCTGCAGCTCCTCATTGCGTTCGTATCTCCACTGTCCGTGCATCCAACAAGGATGCAGACACCTGTCTGAACACGGTATAGGGCTAGGGTTTCGGATTTAAGAGAGGAGATGAGGGGAACTTCTTGAGGCCATGATGAGTAACATTTCTTCAGGCCGTACCTGCATTTGGGAACGCCTTTTCTGAATTCCGCAACCAACCGCAAGAGGTACTTTATCATAAAACGACTAAGTGCCACCCCGGTGTGATGACTAAGCCCATGTGATGTCCACGCAGAGTGGCTGTTCACAGGTTGATGTCACCTTGCGCTTCTTTCACTTGGGTGCTGGAGCGGGAGGAGGCCTTTCCGATTTTGGTATTGACTATCTCTTAAGAGCGGCTTTATGGCAGTGGTAACAATGACAAGTGCTGTCCTTACTTCGTAAACCTTGACACCTCCGCCTTACTTGCCATGCAGTGCCAGGAGTTGTTTCATGCCGATGGGTGTGAGTCAGAAGTCCTCGAAAGCGTGTGTTCTCGTATATACTTGTGTAACTGTTGCTCAGAGGTCTTTACAAGCATCCACGCAAAGGGATAGTCAGACGGACCTTGGTGGGACAGCTTTGAAGGCTAAGGGCTAGCAGCCTGTGCGAGCCCGGTTAGACAATGGAGGCTGCGCTTGCCTACTTCCAGGTTTTCCAGGCATGTTCACTCAGCAACAGTCAAAGAAGCTGGCTAAGCTTCTAACTAAAGAAACACGCCTTACCAGGCGACGCAAGTCAGCGAGCCCCGCATGTTTCGCTTGGCAGTTAGTAGGGTAAGGACAGAAGGCAAGAAGCAAGAGACTCTTCCTTGAGTCTCCAGGCTGCACCCCTGCACGGTCTAGGGTTTAGGGTGCACTCTTTGCATACGGAGCCTCCGTTCTCAAATTACAAAGTAGAAAGTGGCTGAGCACACTGGGTAACTGCCCTCCAGAAGCCAAGAGCCCTCCAGGTGCTGCGCCGCTCGGTCAGAATGGGAAGTTTCTTCGTGCTATGGTCTCAATTTTGCGTGGGCGCTAGGATCACAATGAGAAATTGTATGGGTTGTGTGGGGTGGCTCAAAATCATGGCTGTACAATCTCCAGAGACCTTCAATAAAATCACCCCAATGGAACCCCATATAGCACCCATGACTTACAGAAGCCCAAGTCCAGGAAAAAACATCGTAGTTTGTTAAGCAGAGGGGGTCAAAGCACACCCTTCAGAGACACAGGTTCCGTTACATGGCGCCCATACCGTGCGTATCGTGTTATAAACCAGGGTAGAACATGGCTATGAAAACTAATCGTTCACGGTGAGATATGGTGAGCAATATCGTCATCTTCGTTGCTCTTGCGGTACGTCAGGCAAAGGCGTTCCACGCTAAACCACTCAGCCTTATATGCCAGACATGTGTTTGGACACATGACCAGCTAAAGCTGCCCCGCCTCCTACAGCCTGATCCTTGTGTACGGATTGTCAAAATTAAGGGACATCGTGATGCGTTGAAAGAACCTAGTCACGTAGGTTCATGATTGACTACGTGACCTACATCTATCTATACCTGCTGCATGAGTGCCTAAACATCAACATGAGCACGTCGAATTGGTTTTGAACATGTGTTGGTCTCCTCACCTGCGCATGAAACTCCAGGATTGTTGTCATGAGTCATGAGGGCGCTTTAAGATGCTTTAAGCATGCTTCGAACCTAGAGACCGCGCACAAAACGAAAAAGACCCCCAATTCTGCCATAGTAGGCTTCCTAGAAGCATGGGCCTCCCAATGAACAGCTGGGCCACATCCAGGCATCACTTTGGGCGGTTCTTTCGCAAGCCAGTGCTCGTTGCTACCCTGGGACCTGGAGAGTTGCAGCGCAGCTGCACTTGCTGCAGGGCTTGGGATACTGCTTGTAGTGGTCATCATAGCGTGTTTTTTTTCTTGGTGGTGCTGGTGCTGGTGCTGGTGCTGTTGTTTTGCTCACAAGTATCTTCTGTCACTCTCAGTATGCGCCAAACGTGTATAAATCTTGGCATTAGGAGATTTAATAGAGATTTAAGAGGAGGAGGGCAAGGATGGGTTTGTCTCAAGATGAAATTCGCAGCCCCTACAAGCTGTTGGCACGCGAGATTTTGCGTATGGCTTCCTTTTAAATCCAGATGGCTTTCTAAACGCACAAAAGTCTGTAGTTTGGACCTCCATGGCAATGCTCGACTGTAAGTATTCCGGGGAGGCCGTGACACTTCAAGTATATGGTCTAGTCAGCACGATGTTAGGCCCTTTGCCTCCTCGACCCAAAGTTGTAGAAACCATTTGCTGGATGAGGCGCACAATCCGACTTGAGGTAAAGGAGGCGAAGGGCGACGAGAATCAGGAGCACGCACAGCGCAGACGAGGCGACACACTTGAAGGAGCCAACCCCTAAGGCATAAGGCCCTTACTGTAGCCCCCATTGAGTCAGGAGGGGATGTGGGGGGCCTTTCCGACTCTGCCTCACACTCGGACTACCAGGAGTGATCAAAAGTTGCTTTTTAGCACGAATGGGAAGTGGAAACAATGCGAGATCCTGGGTCTGATTTGAGCGACCAGGCCCAGAACCATCCATCAGCTCGGCTGTCGACAGCTTCTTGGCTGTCTTCACCACAGCTATTGGGGGCTAGTAGGGAATAAGGGTATGAATTAAACAGGGATTACATTCCCTTATTCCCGACCAAGCTCAGCAAGCATGTCTGTGGTAGTCCCTTCCCTTACTGGTGGCTACGGGTTGGGAATATGGGCTTAGGCTTCAGGTGGTTGTAGATCTCCTGGAGGAAGCTTGGGAGCTTGGTCACTTTCAGCCAGCAGCGCTGCATGATGGGTTCCCTTAAGTCTGGCAGAGCCTGCGCGAACCCAGATGCAACAAAAAAGTCTTGAAAAATAATGAGCACGCCCCCACCTCTGATGTCAAATATGTCACCCCTAATCTGCAATTTATAGATTGTGCAATGTTAGGGCAGGGGTTCGTGGGGGTGTTCAAAGCACGTGGAAAGGATCTACTTCATTGGAAACCTCCACCAAATGTGTGTACACCAAAAGCTTAGATGCAGCTCCTCGGCTGGTACCACAAAGGGCCCAGAGTTGCTGAGAAGAACCCACATACGGATTATATAGCCCCAAGATTGTTTTGTCCTGCTTATAGTAGGAATGAATAAGCAAACATTCTCTCACTTGGCTCAACTCCTCGAAGTAGATTTAACATGGCAGTTCCTGAAATCAGGTATCTGCAGGGCTCAGGCTCAGTTACAGGGTTCAACAGTTTTTCCCACGTTCGCGCCACCCTAAACGGCCACCTGGTACTGTAGACAAGCAACTCCACCTGAAGTTGAGGCTTCCCAGCTTACATATACATATACATATCTATAAAGAGTGTATAGGTCTATAATAACATAAGTAGATATAGGCGTATATGGACATATGTATGCATGTATTTATTTCAAAGCTGGACCGCAATGGGTTCCTTGTAGTTCTCGCATATCCCGGGAAGTCCCCCAGGCCCTTTTCTCGACAACCTCAACGGAACCGGCACCCCAGCATCCACTTTGTGTTTTAGATATGAGAGGAAGAGGATATACGTCAGCCCTAGCAGGGAACTTGCTGGGAGTTGCTGCTTTTGGGGGGAGTTCCCGTGGTTCTATCCGGGCCCCAACTCAGGAACACGTGTATATGGTCATGATGCATGAATATGCATGGTATGCACATGTGAGGCGACCTTTTTGAAGTTGTCGCTGCAACCGCCTCGAGCACCAGCGATCCTCGGCGCGGATTTCACACATAAGATTTGCCAGTGCAATTGCTCTACCACTGCTGTAGACCGGTAAGAAAAGCAGCCGCAGCAGTCGCAGGAGTAGTTATGAGGTTACAAGGTTCAACAAACTGTAGCAGGAAACCTCGTGGTCATAGCTGCCCCAAGGTTTGCAACGTTCGCGACCTTCAGTCCATCTCCTATGAGGGAGGCATCTGATGCGTAGTTGACAGGGGTATGTCATCGACATTAATGGGCCCTCGCCTAGCGCAGGATCCCTTCCTGCACGTGAGCCTTGCCATTTTTGGCAAGCATCAATTTCTCGGGGTGTTAAAAATCACGCCCAGATCCGTAAATGAAAGTTGGCATGTCACCGACTGAGCTGCTACAAACTCAATGGATTTTGGTTGCAAGAAGGAAAGGAAAGGGACTAGAGGCGGACGGAACAGGCCGTAACTATTTATCCAGAGCAGCAATAGCTATCTGCTATTGGTCATGCCAACATGGCGAAAGGGCTAGTTTCGGCGAACTTGTTGT